GTCGGTGGTGAGATATCCTAAGACGGAATAAGGAAGAGGAGGATGCAAGTTGGTTGTCTGAGCACACTTGTGGTGTGGGTCATCTCATGGTCTGTCCTGACAGCTCACACCACTTGTACCTCACAAACCTCTTGGACGCTCACCAACGGCAATGCTTGTGAGTTGTTAGGTATCCCGCAAGGGTATGTTTATAGTATTTGTCTTAATTTTCTTAATCCAGAGTTTGTGTGTAATAACATGAGAATGCCTCTTCTGATCCGTTCACTGCCGTAGTGTCTTATTAAGAGGAAGGTTCGCATTTGTACTGTGTTGTGTTGCTGCCAGTTTATCAGCTCTTAAAATATAAGTAGCTTAGGAGAGGTGGAACGATGATACCAACAAAATATAAACGAAGGCACTTATGCACAGTGTTACTTTTTTTTTTTTAGCTGCATACCGTAAATGAAAGGTCCTGCCTCCTAAAGGGTATACCTGCCGAGTCTTGAGGCATTTATATTTAAAAAGGAAAAAGAAACCACTCTAGGGTCAGCTTGCACCTTCACGTTAAATGTGGCACGTTTTTTAGTCAACATTATTATTATAAGGAAGGACATAAAAACTCACCCATACAAAAATATAATATATTAATAGTAACGTTTATACAACATACTCTACTACAACCAACATCACCACACTCCAGTTCACCTTTATTCAGTCCTCATATTAGCTCACTAGCACTGCTGCTAGTGAGTAAAAACAAATACTTATAAATAGGTCTGTCTATCAGCAGGCAAAAACACCATACAAGTACTCGCCCAAAACTTAAACTGGCCTCGGCACTCTAGGGCCTTACAGGTAAACATGAGAACACTTGAACACGAACAAAATTACCTATAGTATATAAAAAAAAAAACTCACCAACTCACCTACTCACACACCTATATCTCGCTCCATATGCTGTGCTTCATCTACTTCCAAAACACACCTCACTCTCTCTCTCTCCTCTCCTGGCCATTGATTGACCAGGAATAATACGCGTCCAGCTTCAAAATATATCCCGGGAAATGGCATTTTATATAGAAACCTTTTTTTTATGTAATATTTTTATTATACCACGCTGCGTAATAACAGTTCAAGACATAAATTGAAGACACGTTTTGCCAGGAGTGGTTTCACACCAAATAAAGAGACAATTAAAGCATGTATTGTAGTGAATTCGGTGTAAAGAAACACAAATAAATGTAAAGTGGAGATGAAGGTAGCCAGTGTGACCCCGCTGGCTGGTGTCATCTAATTGCTTGACCCAGAATGGGCAGTAACTGGTTTACTAAGGCTATGGAAATGTTATACCTGGCAAATATTCGCGAGACAGTATTTATAACTACTATCACGACAGCTTCTTCACACTTAAGACAGTGTAGGTCATTTTCTCATAAAACTAACTTGGATTCTTCCCACTTCATGAGTTAGCCTTGTGCTCTCTTATGTAGAACATAGACTTTGTTTTGGTTGTAGTAGTACACGCCTATTTCTTTATTTTTTGTACTCTTATCTCCAAATATCTTGCTGTTTCCTATCACACACTTCCCTTATAACGAATGATATAAACTTCTGCATTGTGTTGTCACTTTTTTTTGGGCATTTTACTACATTTCTTACAGAGGTCGATGAGTTAGTAGTTATTTTATACTTACTGTTTGTTATTGTCAGGACTACGTTAGATGCCACGCTGCTGACAGTGAGGAAACATTAATGGAACGAAACTTAAGAATATGTTGCCCAGTTCACGTCCCTCCCTCTACACACTCACATTAATAAGAATATAAGAATAGTGGAACAGTATGAAGCAGACCTACTGGTCCATCCTAGGTAGATTCTTCTCAAAACCAACCACTTCTGGCATCTCCCATACATATTCTCACTCACTCATCTACTCACACACACACACACACACACACACACATACACAATCGGACCCGAAGCCACATCAGGAGGACAACAACAGTCAAGGAAGGAGGAAGATCAGAGGTCACAAGAAACGACCGAGAAGTATGTGAAGAGCTCAGCATGAGATTCAAAGAAGTATTTTCAGTGGAGACAAAAAGGATTCCAGAAAGCTGGAATGGTGGGATACACCAACAAGTGCTGGACACAATACGCAACCGAGGAGGAGGTGAAGAGGCTGTTAAGTGTGCTAGATACCTCAAAGACGGTGGGACAAGACATCTCTCCCTGGGTCCTGAGAGAAGGAGCAGAGGCGCTGTGTGTCACTAGTAACAATCTTCAACACATCTATCCTAACAGGACAACTACCTGAAGTGTGGAAGATAGTATATGTAGTCCAAATTTTTAAGAAAGGATACACAGACAGGCAGCATTTAACTACAGACCAGTTTCACTAAACACGTATAGTATTCATAGTCATGGAGAAGATTATCAGAAGAGTGGTGGAGCACCTAGCAAGGAATGAGCTTATACACGACAACCAGCACGGTTTTAGGAAGGGAAATCCTGTGTCACAAACCTACTGGAGTTTTACGACAAGGGGACGAAAGTAAGACAAGAAAGACAAGGGTGGATAGATTGCATTTTCTAAGACTGTAAGAAGGGTTTCGACACAGTTCCACATAAGAGATTAGTGCGAAAGCTAGAGGAGCAAGCAGGTATAACAGGAAAGGCACCGCAATAGATCAAAGAATACCCGACAGGAAGGCAACGAAGAGTCACGGCACATGACGAGGTGTCAGAGTGGGCGCCTGTGACTAGCGGGGTTCCACAAGGGTCAGTCCTAGGGCCGGTGCTGGTTTTGGTGTATGTGAATGACATGACGGAAGGGATAGATGCAGATGTGTCCCTGTTTGCAGACGATGTGAAGATAATGCGAAGAATTCAATCGGACGAGGATCAAGTAGGACTACAAAGGGATCTGTACAGGCTGCAAGCCTCATCCAGCAACTGGCTCCTGGACTTTAACCCCACCAAGTGCAGTCATGAAGATTGGGGAAGGTCAAAGAAGACCGCAAACAGAGTACAGGCTAGGGGGCCAAAGACTGCAAACCTCACTCATGGAAAAGAATCTTGAGGTGAGTATAATACTGAGTACATCTCCTTAGGTGCACATTAACGAAATAGCTGCTGCAGCATATGGGAGCCTGGCAAACCTAAGAATAGCATTTTGACACCTTAGTAAAGAATCGTTCAAGATTCTGTACACCGTGTACGTCAAGCCCATACTGGAGTATGCAGCACCAGTCTGGAACCCACATCTGGTCAAGCACATCAAGAATTTAAAGTTCAAAGGTTTGCAACATGACCAGTCCCAGAGAGGAGCAGCGAGTTGTCAGGAAGCAGGCGTCGGAATGGGCGAGTGTAACGAGTTAGGTTCCACAAGGGCCAGTACTTGGACCAGTGCTGTTTCTTGTGTATGTAAACGAAGTGACAGGAGGAAAGCGAGTCAGAGATGTCTCTGTTCACAGTTGATGTGAAATTGACAAAGGAAAAATTTTGAATAAGAACTTCGAGGTGAAAATAGTCCCAAGCATCTCGTCTGAGGCACATGTTAACCAAATAATACTGCAGCAAACGCGAGACTGGTACATTTAAGGGAAGCTTTTAGAAACCTCAGCAGGAAGTATTCACGAGCCTATACACGGCATGCATATGCTAGGCCTATCCTTGAGTGTGCAGCACCAATATGGAACTCACATCTGACAAATCATATATAGAAGTTGAGAGAACAATCGTTTGCAAAGAAAGTGGTCCCCGAGCTGAGAGATATGAACTAGGAGAAAAATCTAGTGAAGCTAAACCTAAGGTCATTCGAGTTATCAGGAAGTGGGATAACCAACATTAGACTGGGAAGTGGCTGTAAGAATAGGTATGACCGGAGAGAGTAAACCTAGTCGTGGCCACCAGAGAGGCGATTCCAGGAGCCGAGACTTGAGTAAGTTCACTCAAGAACATGAAAGAGTAATGGAGGCATCCCCAGACATCATAGCACTCACGGAGACAAAGCCCATTGGAATGATAACAGACACGATCTTCCCAACTGGTTATCAGATCCTGAGGAAAGACAGAGGGAGCAGATGAGGAGGAGGAGCTGCACTGCTCATCAAAAACCAGTAGAGTTTTGAGGAGATGGGAGAAATGGATAGATGGGAAGCAGATGACTACGCTGAGAACACTTCAGAACACATGAAAACACTTCAGACCGGGAGTCACAAGGTGGTGATAGCAGCATGTTCATCTTTTCAAATTCAATCAGGACCGGGTTCGTAAAAGAAAATTATAATTAATTCATTGGCATGGTCAAAATACATTGCTTGAAGCTCCCCAAATGCGTATTTATCACAACCAGATGCCATCTTAAAATGAATCTTAAAAAAACTTCACATAATACTGCTACTTCTTGCTTGCCACCGAGTTTCTGTCAGAGATATCAGTTGGAGAGGCTTTCCCATCACTTATCAGCTTCCAGATGTCTAGATAAGCTTCTCTTCTCAAAGGAATCATATGAAACCAATTATTACTTTCAGTATGCAATGAATATAAGATGGCAATTCTTCTGATGCAAGAGACAATGACAAGTGAAGGAAATGAGATGGACACATTCTAAGGAATAGGTTAAGTATCTCTTTTATCAGCAAGGTGTAAAATGAATGGTGATGCTCACGTAGGTTTGAAGGCTGAGTTGCAAAACACTGTTTTCAATTAATTCCAATCTCAATAAATATTCCTATATGTTATTGTACCCACATACGAGTGGCATTGATCAATAACAACACTGTGATTATCCATGGAGTCGAACCCATGCTGCTTTGGCCCGCTTCAGGTGTGTGGGTCAGCAGCATGGGTTCGACTCTTTGGCTAGTCGCAGTGTTGTTATTCCTACATGTGTTGATGCTAGACTCTGATGTAGTGTAGTAACTGGGGCATGTCCAACTAGATGTATTTCAGTCGCTGTGCTACCCGAGGAAGGTATCCCTGTGCATTTTTAAAATTCTTCAGTAAAAAAAACGAAATAATCATATACGATCCAAATCTAATTCAAACCTTTTAAAGGGACCTCTGAAACTAATGTCCTCAAATGAATAAGCACATTAAGCTTGACCACGCTCAGAATTTGCATTAACAGCTAACTGGGACTTGCACGGGATGAAAGCAATCCATTTTTTGTAT